GGAGGGACGGGGAGGGGGAGCGGCGGGAGGAGAAGGAGGAGGAGGACGAGAAAGAGGAGGAACAGGAGCAGGAGGAGGTTGGAGGATGAGGAGGATGAATGGGGATGATGGGGGCGCGCAGGTTTAGGAGGGGGGAGGTGGAGGAGGAGGAGGAGTACGAGGAGGAGTACGAGGAGGAGGAAGAGGATGAGGATGATGATGGTGATGATGATGATGAGGAGGAGGAGGAGGAGGAGGGGGAGAGGGAGGGGCCTCCACCCTCTGCCCTCCGCCGCCCGCAGGTGACGTCAGAGTTCCCGAAGCTGATGAACCAGTTGCTGATCGACAAGGCGATCGAGAAGGTCAGGAAGGACTTGAGCCCGAGCGGCGTCGCCTTCACTGCCCAGATGCAGCAGAGGCTCGACGACTGGAAGAGCGGGCGGATGCTCTCCGGGGAAGGGCCGTCGGCGGCGGGCGCGGCGGCGCCTTCCGAGCCGCCCGAGCCGACCGCGTCGGCGGCTTCGGCGCCACCGTCGCCAGCGCCGTCGCCAGTGCCGTCGCCAGCGCCAGCGGCTTCGCCAACGCAGGGGCCCGCGGCGGAGGCGAGCTTGAAGAACAAGCTGGCGGCGATGCGGGCCAAGCGCCCCCCCGTCGCCTGAGGCCGCGCGCGGGGTGGGCCCCGGGGCGAGACGGAGTCGACGATGCTGACGTTTCTTCGCAGCGCGGCTGCCGCGCTGGCGTGACGTGGGACATGGGCTCGCAGATGGGGGCGAGTCGAGGCGTCAAAATGATCAAGGCTTGATCGAGCGAGAGGGGGGAGGGGGCGCTGCTTCCTTCCTCTCCCCCCCATGTTGCCTTTCACCCCAGCCCGCCTCTTCCTCTCGCGCTTTGCCGCTGCCCCATCCCCGAGCCCTCCTCAGCGCCGACCGTTCTCGGCCTTGCGAGGTGTCGAGGCCTGCGGGGTCTTCCGAGGTCGATGTTCAGCTGAGGCTGGGAGGAGGGGGAGGACGAGGAGGAGGGGGGGGAGGGAGAGCGGGAGGAGGAGGAGGAGGAGGAGGAGGAGGAGGAGGAGGAGGAGGGGGAGGAGGGCGAAGGGGAGGACGGCGAGGAGTACGTCGAGAAGGAGGAGGGCGGAGGAGGGGTGAGGGAGAGTCCGTCTGGATTTTGAAGGTCCTATGTGTCGGGTGACGCATGGTAGTAGTAGTAGTAGTAGTAGTAGTAGTAGTAGTAGTAGTAGTAGTAGTAGTAGTAGTAGTAGTAGTAGTAGTCATGGCGGCTTCAACGCCGCGTCGGGCGCATCGTCGGACGTTGAGCATGCATCGGCAATGGCTTCGCCAGCCGTGGCCCCGCCGATCTGGGCGACAGTTTGGCAGTTCGATGCAGCTTCTGTTGCGGCGCAGGCCCTTTTGCATATGCAGCGCGGTGGAATGATTACATTTATATACATTTATGAACGGTATATTGTATACTTATGTAATATCGCGAATGCAAATATAACATTTAGTCAATATATGCATGCGTATTTTTCATATTTTGTTTTTTCTTTTTTCTCGCCGCCACGACGTGTGGCACGATCGAACTCTCCAACCCTTTGTTTTCTGTATTCTTACGGCAGTGAGGCCCTCGGAAGGGTCTTTTCCCCTCTCGCGTGTCCTGTCCAAGTCCGACTGTAGGTCGCACTGACCCGGGTTTGGGTGCAGGATCCTGCAGGATCTTGCCAAGCCTGACTGACCCGGGTCTGGGTTGACCCGGAGTCAGCAGATCTCCGAGGGTGGGGGCTCCGCGGTCCAGATCAGTTCGGGTCAGAAGCCGCGCGTCCGGGCCTCCCAGATGGGGTCGGAGTGGATGGGCTCCGAGGATCGCGCCGCAGCGCTGATGCATCGGCGATGCGGCTCGATGCGGAGCCCGACAGTCTCCACGCGGACAACGCCGCTGCGTTGGCGACGTCGGCGATGCATCGCCGATGCACTGGCGAAGCATTGGCGATACGGCGCGATCCTCCGTCGACACCTTTTCGGACCCCATCTGGGAGGTGGATTCGGGATCCGTGGATCTGGCGCGTGGGCGCCAGATGCACGGATCAGGGAAGGGACCCCCCGGAACATGAGGCCAACGCCGCTGGGTCTAGTTATGGATCGCGCCGATTCTGTATTGAAGCGAGGCCCGCCGCTAATCCAGTCGTCGCTAATTACTGTTTGCGTATTCTCGACATGCGTGGCGGTTCCTGACCATTTTCGCAGGGTTCGTTGTCGGTGCCGCTGCGGACGTAGTCCACGTGAGATTGCCTGCCCAACAGTGATCGCTGTCGATTTTGGACGACGTTCGCTGTTGGATGTAGGGTATAGTGCCCGCTTTTGTCCGTACCCATTTCGGGCGTCCAAAATCGGGGTGGAAGTGAGAGTAAGGTCGATGTCGAGGGCGCGAAGTAATTCGCGCTTCGCGGTTCGGTTCCGACTCCTCCTCATCCTCCTCTTCTCCTTTGGGGGACGTCGTGGGAGCGCGACGTGATTCGCGCTTCGCGAAGCGCGAAGTTAGGCGCCCTTGGAGAAGGGGTAGGCCTTCTCATAGGCGGCGGGGCTTCTGGGAAGCCTTCGGGCCTTCCGAGGAGCCGTCCCGTCCGTGTTTCCAGCGAAGGCTCAGAAGGCTTCTCAGAAGGCGCGAGGGCTTATAGGAAGCCCCGACGCCTTCTGAAGAGACCTGCCCCCTCTCGTTTCCTCCTCGGGCTCGCCGCCGAGGAATGGGTACGGCAAGAGTGGCGACGAAGTGCGACACGACAGCAACTCCTGTCCATCTCGAAGAGGAAGTGCTGTCGGTGCCGCCGCGGACGGTGCTCATTTGAGACGAAAGGCTGCCTGCCCAACAATGGGCGCTGTCGGAGTTGGGCAACGTTTGCTGTGAGGCATTTCACATGTTTCTTCCGTGCCAATTTCGGGCGTGCCAAGTGGAGGCCGACGGGGCGTAGAGTCCATGGAAATCGGCAAACGAAGCTACGGAAGGTTCGTGCCGTGCTGGCACGGCAGCGGCCCCAGCGCGGGTGTTCAAGGCTGAACGCCGCCAGCCGCCCAGAATCGACCATTGTGGAACGTTGTGGCGATCGAGAAGCCGCCGATCATTCAAGGTTTGACGATCCACGTGGCGTTTGTTGATCGTGTATATACATCTGCGCTGCAACCATCACGCGCGCTTCGCGCGCGCTCAAGTTCTAGCTGGGCTGGATGGTCGAACTCTCGGGGACCACTATTTATGATGCTTCCTCTCCAGGGCTTCCAAGAACCACCAAGATGGCCCAAGTGGCTCCCAAGGCTTCCTGCGGTCCACCCACGGCGGCCCAAGGCAGGCCCAAGAAACACTTCGGGGGTCCTTCTCTTTGCCGCGGCTGGCTAAGAAGCACTTCGGGGGCCCTTTTCTTCGCCGCGGCTGGACGTAGCCGGGGGGGAGGGATGAGAAGGGGAGGTGAACGGGATTTCTTTGGGGGAGAAGAAGGAGAATGAGGAGGAGGAGGAGGAGGAGGAGGAGGAGGAGGAGGAGCAGGCCGCAGAGGAGGAGGAACAGGAGGAGGAGGAGGAGGAGGAGGATAATGAGGAGGATGACATGATTTTACGTATAAGCGTAGCCAAGCTGGGAGGCGAACTTGAAGCACAAGGGATATGTTGGAACTCGTCTTTCTCAAATGCTCTCGGGGCCTCTTTTGGGCCTCTTTGGGGCTTCCTGGGACCTCCTGGGGCCTCCTGGGGGTCCCCTGGGCCGTGGTTGGGGTCTTGGACGACTCTTCGGCCGTCTTGGACGTCTCTTCGGCCGTCTTGGGGCCATCTTGGGGCGCTTTTGACGCCTGTTGGGCCATCTTGGGGTGATCCTCGGAGCCTCTTGGGGCCTCTTGGGGCGTCGGGAAGCGGAATGGGCGGAACCGCCAAACGTAATCAAACACGTGAGGAATATCAATGTATGTTTGCCTCTTCGAGCTCTCTTGGGAGTCCACTTGGAGGCCTCTTTGGTATCTTAGGGACCTCTTTGGCCGTCTGGAGGCCGTCTTGGACGTCTTGGACCGTCTAGTGGCGTTCGGCTCATCCCGCAACCGTGCCTGGGTTTTGGGTTAGAGGCCTCTTGGAAGTTCGTTTGGATATCGTGCGAGACCTCTCGGGAGCCTCTTGGAGGCAGTTTTGGATGTCTCTTGGGGGTCGTTTTGGGGGCCTCTTGGGGGCCTCGTGGGGCAACCAGGGGGCCTCTTGGGCTCTCTTGATGGCCTCTTGGGGCCTCCTGGGGGCCTCTTGGGGCGGAAGCCTCGAATTGTCGGTTCGTGTTCCCCTTCTTGGGGCCCTCTCGGGGCCGTCTTGGAGCCCTCTTGGGCGATCTTGTGCACCTCGTGGGCCTTGGGGGGGGGCCCTCTGGGACCGTCTTGGGGCCTTCTTGGAGTCTTGGGGCGGTCTTGGGGGCCTTTGGGGCCATCTTGGAGCGTCGGAAGCCCATACAGTCGGCCCAGATTAGTAGGTCGACCCTGCCAGCTCAAGGGTACCCTTGTGTCCTGTGCCTCGCGACACGTGCCTTCTCACACTCCTATGGCGATGTGGCCCTCGGAAGGGTCTTGTGTCCTCTCGCGTGTCCTGTCCAATCAAGGCCGACTGCATCGTGAGAACGCGAAAACCATAGAAACACGCACGAACAATCATTGATTTTGCCTCTTTGGGACCTCTTGGGGGTCCTCTTGGAGCGCTCTTGGGCCGTCTTGGAGGCCTCTTGGACCCTCTTGGGCGCTTTCTGGGGCCCTCTGGCCTCTCGGGGCCGCCTCCGGGAACCGAATCGGGAGGGTATTAAAACGTGTCCCTGGATTGTTGCGGAGTGTCCGCCCCCAGGCCGGGTGGGGGTCGACTCAGTTACATGCACATGTATATGTATATGTCTATATCCATGATCATGAATATGTAGATGTATGTGTATGTGTATATGTGTTTGTATGAGCATGTCTAAATGTATGTGTATATGTATAGGTGCATATAGATGTATGGACTGCACCATTTCGACTGCACATTATATATTGCAGCATATTGAGGGCTTGCTCGACCCTTGGCTGCAATGGGGGCCGTTCTCGGGCGGGACACCCGCCCGCTTGATGGGGCGCCCGCGGGAGACGAGGCGCCAGACGGGGGGGCCTGGCTGCAACGTGCGATCGCTCTTTGCCCGTGCGCCATTGCCCTTGCCCAGACGCCCAGGGACCCGAGGCCGCTGGCTGCTGGCAGCCGCCGCTGGCTGCTGGCCACCACCCGCTGCTGGCCGGCGCTGCCTGCCGCAGGGCGGCCGCCGCCGACTGCCACCGTCGACCCGCCGCGCGCCGCGTCGACAGAGGCCCCCGCCGTGCAGCCGCGAAGGGGCGCGCGCGTCGGCAAGGGCCGGCCTCCGCTTGCGCCGAAGCCCGCACCCAGGCTGGTCGCGCCAGTTCGGCGGGCAGGCACCGAGCCCGAGCCCGACATGGAGGAGTTGTGCGTGTCCTCCGACAGCACTTCGCGCACCGACGAGATCCAGGAGAGTCTCTCCGGGGCGAGCTCCGCCGAGGACGGGCGCAGCCCGGGCAGCAGCTCGACGGCGTCGGCCAAAGAAGCAGACGCCGAGCTTGCTTGGCGGCTGATTTAGTTCGGGCGTCGATTGCACAACCGCCCATGGAAGTCGACTAGAGCTATCCTTGACGCTTCGCGTACTCCCCCATCAGCCCCCTCAGATCACAGAGGGCGGGGCAGCCGCCAAACAGAAAATCGGAATCTGCCTGAGCAGGCCCAGGAGTCAACCTTAAATGCCTTCGCGGAGCTTTCGATACTGGATCCTCTTGGCAGCTTGCATGGGCCGTGTTTGGGTCACATTTTTTGAAGGCCTTGGTGCCTTGATGGGCCCTCTTGAGGGCCCTAGGGGGCCTATCGGGGCCACCTTGGAGGACATCGATCCAAGATTGGGAGGCTATAAAATTTGGTCCCCCTTCTGGAGCCCCGAGAGTCGCCTCTTGGGGCTCTCTTGGAGCGCTCTTCGGCGCTCTTGGATCCATCTTGTGGCCGTCTTCAGGCCTCGGAAGTCCATCAAAAGCGAAGAGACGAGAATGCAACAAACATTTGTTGTCCGTAGGTCTTGTACGGATTTCGCCCTCTCGAGAGCATCCTTGGAAAGTTCCGTGGCCACTTGGTGCAGTCTTGGATCGGTCTCACGCTATCTTCGGATGTATTGGCGCATCGTGAAGGTCATCTCGGGCTCGTTAAGGCCCTCTTGGAGCCATCTTGGGTCATCTTGGACGCTCCAATCGGTCGCCTCCCCCCGTCTAGACCCAGTGGGAGGGGGTGAAGACGCAAACTTCTTGGCTCACTTCCACCCGCCCTCCCAACACATTCAGTAGTAATTACCCGAGTCTTAGCATGGTCAGCGGTCGTCTTTGGATGGACAGCTACTTGGAACCAATACGTTCTCCAGGTGCGCGACGCTGGGGCGAGGTGCGCCGCGCGTGCCATGAGCACCGGACGCGCCAGGCGCCCCCTGGGGCCCGAGCGTGCCAGGCTCGCCAGGTGCACCGGATGCGTCACGTGCTCCAGGTGCGCCGAGGTGCAGCATGGTCCAGCCGCGTCATGCTTCGCCACGTTCGTCGGAAACTGGAACATCTACATTACCAGTGGCGGGCTGTTTTTCAATCCCAGCACTTTTTGGAGGGTCGGGGACGACGTCGGGGTGGTGTGGGGCACACTTTGTTTGTCCATTTCCCGGGGAATCAACGGCACATGTATACACCAGGGTCCCGTATACACCAGGATCCGTTTTCATGGGCAAATTTCGTTGCAGGGCCGGAGAACGCGTCGGTGTATAGAGTTCGGTTCCCTAGTTCGGGGCGGGCGCGCGCAGAGTGTACCAGGCTCGCCTGCGCATGTCGGGAAACATGTCGGCTTCATCATCCTTGTCGAGAACCAGTGCACGATTGCGGCGGCGTGGCCATCGTGATGTTTGGTGGGTTTGCGCGCAGCAGACAACATGCCAGTACCCCCGCCGTCCCTGTCGAAAACCATCTCAGAGTGATCACAGAGTGCCCGCGCATGATCCAGATTTAGCAGCGAAGTGCAGTTTGTATTTTTTTATAGGGAAGGTGGCACTGCGCACAGCAAGCCATGTGATGGCACACCCGCCGTCACTTTCAAAAACAATGCAAAGTGCTCGCGGGCCCCCGAACATGACCTTACATTTTGCAACAAAGTGCAGTTCGCTTTTTTTTGACAGGGATGGCGGGAGGGGTGCCCTCATTGACCCAGGTTGGTCGCCGGTCGAGTGGGGAAGGGGCTGGATATCAATATGAAGCAGTGATCAAGCTGCCCCCCAAGTACGGCCGTCTCGCTCACTCCACCCGCCCTCCCGACTCCCATCAAATAAGTAGCACTCGAGGTTCAGCATGGCTAGGGGCCACCATTGATCATCATCGGGAATCGATGCACGCGCCAGCCAGTTGCGCGACGCCCGCGAGGTGCGCCGCCCGTGCCAGGGCACCCACATCAACCCTGTCAAACAACAGTGCAAAGTGATCCCAGGGTGCCCGCGCATGATCCCTGGGAACGTGTTTTCAGCATTGTTTTGTGACATGGTTGATGGGCCTGTCAAGCACCTGTGCAATACGCCCCCCCCCCCCCCCTCCCTGTCCCTGCCAAAAATCAATGCAGCCTGATCGCTTGGGGCCCGCGCGTGATCCCGATTTTGCTGCAACGTGAACACTGCACTGTTGTTTTGACAGGGAAGGTGGGGTGTGTGCTGTCACGGTGCCATGTCCGCCCTTGGTCAGATGGGGGAGGGGGCCTATATCGAGAAGGAAAAGGGGGAGAAAAGGTGGTGTGAAAGGAAGCATTCTCAACCAGCTGCTCATTCAAGGGTTGGTGGGATTTGGTGGGATTCTGCGCCCGTTCGCCCTTCGCTCGACAGTGGCATTCGCAGTGTGAATGTGTGTGTGTGTGTGAGTGTGTGTGTGTTTGTGTCCCCGATCGGTTTTTGGGCTCGGCCGTTAGTCGCGCGCGCGCGTTCGTTTCTCCTGCCGCTGCGCGCCGGGCCGCGACGCCAACTGTGTGTGTGTGTGTGTTTTTGCGTGCGTGCGTGCGTGCGTGCGTGCGTGCGTGCGTGTGTGTGTGTGTGTTTTGTGTCTGTGTGCGTGTGCCTTGCGTGCGTGTGTGTGTGTGTATTTGTGTTTGTGTGTGTCATGCCGCGTGACCTGGGCCGGCCGCGCGCGTCTATTCGCCCGACTTTCTACGCCGCGCCGCTGTGTGCGTGAGTGGATGTGTATTTGTGGGACATCGTGGGGCGCTCTCGGGCAGCCTGGCGCCCTCGGAGTCCGCTTCGTGGGGTTCTCTGCGCCCTGCATGGCCTTCTTGGGGTCTCTTCGGCCGTCTTGGGGCCTCACTGGTCCGTCCCGGAGACCTCTTGGGCCATCTTGAGGGCCCCTGGGCCCCTCGGAGGTCCTCTTGGAGTCCTGGGCAGCATCAGGGACCTCTTGCGCCGTCCTAGAGGCATCCTGGGCCATCTTGGCGGCCTTTGAGGCCTACCTTGGCCGTAATGGATGCCATCTTGGGCACCCTGGGAAATCACTAGAAATGCGTCGAGGCGCGTAGAGCGCCTCGTGGGGTACAGTGGGGGCACAGGCCCAGAAATACCCTGCTTGCCTCCAGGGTGCACTGGGTTTCTGGGTTTTCGATGGTTTTGCGATGGAAGGCGTGACGTTCTCGCACCCAAAGTCAAAGGACGCCCTGGGGTCTCAGGGTTGGGTTTCTTGTGGAAGTTGTCTTGAGGTCGGCCCCCCACTGTAGGGGGGCGATGCTTTCCCTGTGAGGGTGGTGCGCGGGGAGGGCGGCCCTCGGAATACTCACACAGGCCCTGCCGGACAGCGCCTGGCATTCGGCCGCGCCTTGCCTGAATGTGCCAGGGGGCTCCGTGGCGGATCGTCCCACCGTCTCCAGACTTCCTCGCGTTGTGAATGAATCGCGACGGGAGGTTTTGCTCTGTTTTCGGCCTGCGGGGGCCTTCCGTACCTCGGGACCGTCAACGAACGGCCCTGGAGGAGAAGCCGGTCCCCGGGAAAGGGTTCAGACTTCTGGGGGTCGACGTTGTGAAAAAATCACGTAGTTGCGGGCCTGCGTCTCCCTTGCCCCACACACCCGAAACCCGCGTTATCTGATGGCACGTTGGCATGTCAACGAGCACGGTTGGCATGCACCGGCGCGCGCTGAGTAGGCGCCACTGGCAGAGCGCTCGAGGTGCCGGTGGGTCACTCGACTCGTGCGCCTTCCCCTCAGGGTCACACAGCCCATCTCTGAGAGCTCGGACTGCAAGCTGCCAATACGAATGTTTCACAGTCAGTCCTTTTCCACGCATTGCACGGCATGGAGCTCTCAACAGATACACTTGGCTTTTGTCTTGGTCTTAAACCCGCGTGTGTGTGCGACAGGGAGCCGCTCTTCTGTGATGGGAGAGCTGGCACTGAGCGGTAGCCGCGCCGGAGTTAGAGTTGATGGGTGCCTCTTCTTCATCTGTCACCTATCACTCGTGGCAGAGAAAGACAGTCGGTTTTGAATGTGTGGCGCTGCTGCACTTCCCCGCGCAAAGCCCAGTACGAGCGGTTCTTGTCAAAGGCGCCGTGTCTGGATGCGTGATTCGGTCATCTCAGCAGTTGGTTCTTGGCATCGCTCAGACGTGTGATTTTTTGGGCGAGGAGTCACGGGGAGCATGTTGGACCATCTTGCGACAACGTAAACACATGAATGCGACAACGCACGGGGAATGGACGTCTGAGCGATGGGAAGTTGTTTATCTCATTAGCCGAGTAGAAGGTGGCAGGGGCTGACGCCGACGCCCCGCGCCGCGGCTCATTGACGTATCCGCTGTGCTTACAGAGCTTTGGACGTCTTCCCGCATTCTCCGCATCATCCCTCTCCTGCCGTCTAGCATCTGCTACGTATCCGCACTGCCCGTCTCCTTCCGTCTAGCTCCCGATACGGTCCCAGACGGCCCTGGTAGATTTCAATGTATGTCTGGGAGGACGCTTTCTGTCGTTATTGGCAAGCCCCTCCCCCTGCTTCGAAAATCCGGAGGGGGAGGGGGGGGAGGCAGGGATGGGGGGGGGGGGGGGAAGCTCGGGCACGGCCTCCCACTCCGAAAATGGAGGGGGGCGGGGGGGGGTCGGACCTCTCCTCACCAACCCTTGGTTGCGACTTGGGGGGGGGAAGATTTCGCATGTCGGATCAATCTTAACTGATAGGTGCCAATTCCGACCGAGTGCTCGTTTTCTGATTCATCGTTTTGCCTGTCGGCGCGGGCCCTCGCACCCATTCCCCCTTCCCCCCATGAGTAGGTCTTGAGTCTTGGCTGTTTTTTTGCGCCTGTTTCAAGCAAGTGCAGTGTCCCCACAGGACGCACTGTTGCAAACAGCCGCATGAAGCGGAGGTCTGGAGCCAGACCCCCCCCCTTCTGCTCACTGCCGAAACGCCGAATAAGAAAACGTTCATCAAACGGGCCACTTCTCCACTGGCCCTAACAATCCAATTGGTACAGATTCCAGCCAGCCATCTCGAGCCGTACCATAGGGTTCCGTGTCTAGAACATCTTACGACGGCTCAAGAAGTCACATGCACGTCTGAAGAGTACACCGCCGTTCTAGCAGATGTTATGTGCTCTATGTTATGTGGATGACACGCACACATCTGCACATATATATATA